ACATATATCAACAAAGTTTGAAGATTTGAGGCTGTTTTACCTACACCATAACCTTACCCGTTTTATGTGTGGCCATGGCACCAGCTGCACCAAGTCTCAATTCTGATCTTGACATTCATCTACTTTTTTTACCATATTGAAAATTATAGTCTGGTCCTTACCAAACTTGATAGTCCATTCCGACCACAGTCTCACTGGTTACTACATGGGAAACCATATCTCTGGATAATGCCAATGTCCGTTCTTTTGTTCACACTTTTCCAGCTTCATGGAATTGCTTCCTTAATCCTTCCATAATCTAAGTTTTAATGCTTTTTTCAAGACCCATGTAAGCCCTGCTTTTTTTGACAAATTCATTCTACAGTGATCTCCATATTCTGTCAATTTCCAAAGCCCTAGGAGTCTGTACCACACATTTGCATGCTCTTCTGACTCACTTTTTGGTTTGTTCTGATGTTTTTTATCTTTTCAACAACATTAACTCTTTTTTTTTAAACATCTTTATTGGAGTATAATTGCTTTACAATGGTGTGTCAGTTTCTGCTTTATAACAAAGTGAATCAGTTATACATATACATATATCCCCATATCTCCTCCCTCTTGCGTCTTCCTCCCTCACACTCTCCCTATACCACCTCTCTAGGTGGTCACAAAGCACCAAGCTGATCTCCCTGTGCTATGCAGCTGCTTCCCACTAGCTATCTATTTTACATTTGGTAGTGTATATATGTCCATGCCTCTCTCGCGCTTTGAGCTCTTTTAACACAGAATTTCGTACAAAGTTAGGCAAAGATTAGGAGATCAATGTATTCAAATCTATTCATTGATTGATTGATTTTTTTTTTCACTAATTTACACAACAAGTGATGTGCCACACTGGGTGCTGAGTGCTGGAAATGCAAAGATGAGAAAGATAAACCTTTTCCCATGAAAAAGTTCAAAATGTATAGGGGAGAGAGAAATGTAGCCTTCTAACACTAAAGTACCTTAATCTGGTACCATATAAATGTACTAAAAGGAGGAGTTGATGGGTGGAGGAACGGGTCGCTTTTAGTTGTGTGATCATGAAAGTATCCTACAAGAAAGTGCATTTCATTTATTGGTTCATTCACTCTTTCCCTCATTCATTCATTCATTCGACAAACATTTAGTAATTGCAGGCAACATGCCAGGTACTGTTAAGATTGGGGATACCGGGATGACAGGTTGGAAGGTAGAGCCTCTACTTCCAGGGTGCTCACACGCCAAAGGGGAAAACAATGAGTAAACCAACAAATGATAGCACAGTCTAAAAAACAATGTTACCTAGCCAGGTCATTGTGATCGATGCTGTTTGTCTTTACATTGATTGGTTTGGACTAGTTAAGGATATCATTCACGTCACTATTGCACCCTGAGCACCTCACCTTTAATAAGTAAGTGAAAAAGACAAATAGCACTATCTAGGTTTCGCTTTCCTCAAGCTTGAACCACGAAAAACAATTAATTGTCATAGTTAAGATTAAAAAATTTTTTTAAATATCAAAAACATACATCTTACTTAACACGGCTAAATATTAGCACGAATTAGCCGCCATTTATCTAGTTTAAAATCCAATGCTTATTTCGAAAAAAAGAGTAAAAGATAACCCAGACCCCTAGTTAAAATAAATACCTCATTAAGCTTTCATTGCTATTGGTTCATAATTACTGTTTATTTTATCCCTACTTTGAATGGTTTTCATGGAACTAATTCAACGATAATATCCAATTTTTCTCGCTCTTATACAGAACTTCAACTTGCTTTGGATTTTAATGCAGGTTTTCTTAAAAATGCTTATAGGAAACTTCTTCCAGCCTGACTGTTGTCCTTGCTTGAGAACAAGCAGGGCTACATCTTCTCAATTCAATTTACATCAATAAAAATGCACTGGATGACCACCAAGTACTTTAGAGATACAAAGGTGAGTAAATCACAGTCCATTTCTTCAACGACTGTATCATGTATAACGGACTTCTAGGAAGTTTCAAAAGAGAGGCCATTGACTGATCAAACAGAATTACCATTATGTGCCCAGATAGGCCTCCAAATTATCTGTGTGCCAAGAATGATGCTTCATTAAGTTACTCATTTTCTCTGGTTCCAGCAGCTCAGTCAGAGGAAAATTAAAAACCAAAAAAAACACAGTTCTTTGATTGCAGTATGTTGTCCCTGGCCCACATAAGATCCAAACCAATACTTTTCTACACTAAAAAACGAAATCCTTTCATCACCACCAAGCAAACTTCCTTTAGCTTCCCTCTTCCGTTGGGTGTTTACATACCATCAGTCAACTACAAATACCACCCACTTTATTACAAACGGCCTCCTTGTCAGTCTCCCTTACAGGAGCTGTGCCCTGTCCACAAAACACAGCATCTTACACACTTGAAAGACTAGAGAATGGTTTATATATAAATCATATATGTGTGTGTATATATAAAATACATATATAAATATTCCAAATATTATACATAAAAACCTCCATATACTAGAGAGATTAATTCATAAATCTCAGTCATCAGAAGAAATAAAAGCAATAAATTCTTTTCAACAAACTTAAAGACAATGCAAAACTACTATGCTATTGAACAAAACTTAAAATGTTTTTATATAGGTTTAGTTTCTTTCTTTAACTTCCACACTATTTAGTGCACTAATGAGATTCTTTTTTCAATTTCTGAGGACTCTGCGAAATAAGTTTACCTTTAGTATTTTCATAAATTAAACCATAAAATGTATTAGAAAATGAATAGTAATACATTTTCTCTTGAAAAATGTTTTCTAAGTAATTCTGAAGATTCTGTTTCTAAACTTAGTTTAAGAGATTCGTAAACAGCATGTAGGGATGACTCTACTTCTCTCTCTAGGCTATGAATTCTGTTGAAGAAACATACCCAGATACTGTCCTCTTGTCGATACTGTTTCCAGTTCCTGCCACTGTCACTGAACATTAGGAGGTAGCTGGTCACCCAGTTGGAGCTCCCATATCCCCCTTGGGTGGCCACAGCGGTGATCTCCATTCTCTCTCCAAGGTCAATCTGCAACCACTGGTATTTGTTTGACACAAGTGGAGACCAGCCACCAGCTCCTTTTGTGAAAAGAGAAAAAGGAGAAATGAGCAAAGAATTCGTTAAAAATCTGTTAGTGAACTATCAATCCCAGTAAGACTGTTCCTCTATGGAACTTAAGAAAGTCAAGGGGCTTCCCTTGTGGCACAGTGGTTGAGAGTGTGCCTGCCGATGCAGGGGACACGGGTTCGTGCCCTGGTCCGGGAAGACCCCACATGCCGCGGAGCAGCTGGGCCCGTGAGCCATGGCCGCTGAGCCTGCGCGTCCGGAGCCTGTGCTCTGCAACTGGAGAGGCCACAACAGCGAGAGGCCCGCGTACCACAAAAAAAAAAAAAAAGAAAGTCAAATTTCCAAAATACGAAACTTTCCATAATGCTTGAAAAATATAGAGAAACAAGAATGTAATGTAAATGGATGGAGCCTATGTTAATTATGTTCATTTCTAGGCGTTTCATCCATCTGACACTGGGAGAGTTAACTGAATGACGTTAAGCTCACTGAATGTTTAAACCACTTAATTTGACAGGCAGACATCCACGTCAACACTTGGAACTGGCATGTTGACTGCCCACATGCATGACTGTGTAATGATTTGGCCTTACACCCCTTTGCCCAGAACTTGATTTACCTTCACACTATGGTGGAACTAGAAGACTACCTTTGATGTCTGATCATGTTTAGACTCCTTAGAGAAAGAAGTACAGCATTAAGCCCGGGAAGACAAAGATGGCCAAGGGACAGTTCCTGCCTTCACCGTGTTTAAGGTCTTATGGGAGGAAAAGACGTTGAAAAGCATATTTGAAACACAACATGAAAAGTGTTAATGGTGAGCCAGGTGCAGGGAATAATAACACAGTAAATAATGGAGAGTTCTATCCAGTGATAACTGGCTTGCAACAGCGTGTGAGAGACCATTAAATTTTCAGCAATTTTGCAAGATGATTGTTAAAGATAGCCATCTTTGCAATTGGCCACGGTGGGAGTATTTAAACCACGAAAATTGGCCAACTCTGCAAATCAGTACCCACTCCCACCCCAGCCAGTTTACCAACACATCACTAGTTGTATCCTATCTGGGAAGGGGGGTTGTGGGTGAGAGGACAGTGGATAGGAGAGCCATGGTAAATGGTGTTTGAGCACTCAGAAGTGAAAACAGAAGTCTGTTGTATATTCAAGGAAATATGGATAGAACAGAATTTATTGTGTTTTGTTTTATCCAAATGCACACCAGAAAATTACAGACATGATTACCTACTGTATGTCTTGTTAAGACGTTTCATTCTTCCAGTTTACTATAATAGTGCTTTATTTGAGGAATTTATTTAAGTAATACTGACATTGCTGACTGTGTAAGTATTATGTAGTCACTGTAAAAAACATGAAATAGGGTTTATCCCATTCTTGAATCCATAATTGTCTACTATTCAATGTATATTAAAATGCAGTATCTGTTACATAACGTACCATGTAAGAATATTAGTACATGTTTTTTTTCCCCATTCTTTTGCCATCCACCTTGAGGCTCTGATAATAACTTCTGACAGTTCAGGTAGAGATTACCATAAATTTATATACAGTTTTTATTCAAGCATTATTCTTGACATCCATGCCCTGTTTTATAAACGTTGAGTCAGGCACTAATACAAAGAGATGCCCAATTTTGCTATTACGGTAAGACACGTATCTTTGTGAGACCTAAAGGGACACATCTGTATTAACAACTGCTTGAATAAGATTTAAAAACCCTTCTGATGGCAGATACAACACAGTGACACTCTGAGAGATAAAAAGCAGAACTCTGTGTTACTTACAGCTTCAAAGAAGAGAAGACTGCAAGGAAGGGCCAGTAGAGGGAAATGCCACCACAGAAAGGGTGGCGAGATGAAGCCGTAGAGGGCAGCTCACGTATGGCAAGCGGGGTGGGGTAAGCTAAGTTTTGTGAGCTCCAGGGAAGAGGGGCTGTGTTCGGGTGTCTGGCCCTGGCTCCAGGATGATCAGGGTCGATGCATAGTGGCCACAGAGGGTGTGAGCGCAATAGAAGAAGGGGTTGGGTTGGGACATAATCGGCTGCTCAAGAAGGGGACTGACCAGCCTCTAGTCAGGGCCTCAAACTGAGTTAAGGCAGCATCTTTTTTAAGTTTTATATTCTAACAGTCTCCTCCCTTGACAGCATCACACTAACTCCTGATTGTATTCGGGTATGAGTCCCGAGATTACTTACTACATTGTCCTTAGAACTACATCATTTTTTTTCAAATTTCCTTCTTTCTTGGAGGGAATCATTGTTCAAAAGTGTCTTCCACTTTGTACATCAAAAGTACAATGCTCTCCTTATTGATCCAAAATGTTGATACATTGTGCAATTTTTACTGGTGTGTTTTTACTTTTCATTTTCTCTGTAGTTGCCCCTGAAGAACCCGTGGTTTGGGCTAGTGACCTGGATGAGTGGAGTTCTCTTGGTCACCAATACCATCTACCATGTTTAGGTTAGAGTGAAAAATTCTTGTATTTTAAATAAGAGGGCTTGTTGGGTAGACATGGGCCCTGGCTGCATTTTGGGTGTCTTGGGGTCATTGACCTAGCATGGCTTTGCTGTCCACAAAGGGCACTGCTCATGCAGCCTGTCTGCAGAGCAACAAGAGGCACAGTGCTCTTAACTAGGACACAGCAGTGTCCCCCATATTGTTATGATATATAAATGGGAATCAGCGGTTCCCAATGGATGTAGAAAAGACAGTAGCAATAGGGGTTGGGGAATCTCAGGATTTGGCTACCTGACAGTAGGGTCAACCTTCTTCTCTAGAGTTAACAATAGACCATGTCTTTGAAGTATGGGTACATGATGGGAGTGGTGAGTGGGTAAAAACTTCCCTCTACTGTCCTATCTAATTTTACAATTCTGCCTCAGGGCCTAACAAAAGTTTGGAAGTTGAAAGTCTTCCAGGGTCTGATGTTCACCAAGCAGCCTTGGTCCATCTGCAGCATAGCTGCATATGTGTTACAACTGCCTATCTCTGCATTTTTATCATTTTTTGCATAGAAAAGTTGGAAAAGAATGAATGAAGTGCCCCCAGCCAGCCATCATCTTTACCTGCAATTTCTATGTTTGGAATTTTATCTACATCACCTTATACCTTTGAGAAAATACTGAGTTATTTTGTTTCTTGCTCTTTCTAGTTAATTTTAATGGTCTAAAGTCAGTAATGAAGATACATTTTTAATACAGAATTGCATAATGTTTCTGTGGTACTTTGACATTCCTTTATAGATCAGTATTTAAAACGTGAACACATGTGGGAAGCACAGTGGAAAAAAAAAAGAATCAGCGTAAGTCTAGTGAGTTAAGATTGGATCATCAGTTCTCATCAGGAGCAAGTTCTCACTGACCGCTCCCTCTTCCAGCATCACTCACCATTACAGCTGCACTAACCAACTTGAAACATCCGCAATTAATTGGCCTTGAACATTTCAATTTCTCACCTGTGGCGAAAAGGTACTACTGATATGCTAAATCAAGTGATACCATTAACGAGGTACACCAATAAAGTAACGGAAATTCAGATGCTCCTAGGCTTTACCAAGTAATTTCAGCAAGATAAGTCAGCCATAGGGAATCCAGAGATTCCTACAGGGTTTTAAACTGTGTGGCTGTATAGACACACGTGGTATAAGTGTGTGATGGAGTGCTATGATTGTTCTAATTTTAAAACAAATGTTGAATAGTGATATGGAAAATGCAAATATACAGATATAGATAAATAGACATGGATATAGAACTCAGCACACTTTGGTAGTGCCAGCCTATGATGACATGTAGGGACAATAGTGACATGAAATGAAAACGTAGCTGCAGCTGAGGTTAAGCTACCCCAGGCGTAGGGTCACCGCCAAACCACCTAGCCTTCTGGAGACATCATATCGTCATAGTGTTTACTTTTTGAATGGAGAAAATGATGGCTAACTCCAGCAAGTTGTTAACCCTGAAGTACTATAAAATGAAATATAGTGAACTTCTAAAATTTACTAACTAAAACTTTCAGTTGGTGGTCAAGTATTATTTGTCCTTAATGATTAGGACATTTAATATGTCGACAGAGTCAACATCATGGTAGGACAACGTGAGACGAATGACCATCTTCCCATAACCCCATCTATTCCATGGTCAACATCATGGTAGGACAACGTGAGACGAATGACCATCTTCCCATAATATGTCCATGCCTCTCTCGCGCTTTGAGCTCTTTTAACACAGAATTTCGTACAAAGTTAGGCAAAGATTAGGAGATCAATGTATTCAAATCTATTCATTGATTGATTGATTTTTTTTTTCACTAATTTACACAACAAGTGATGTGCCACACTGGGTGCTGAGTGCTGGAAATGCAAAGATGAGAAAGATAAACCTTTTCCCATGAAAAAGTTCAAAATGTATAGGGGAGAGAGAAATGTAGCCTTCTAACACTAAAGTACCTTAATCTGGTACCATATAAATGTACTAAAAGGAGGAGTTGATGGGTGGAGGAACGGGTCGCTTTTAGTTGTGTGATCATGAAAGTATCCTACAAGAAAGTGCATTTCATTTATTGGTTCATTCACTCTTTCCCTCATTCATTCATTCATTCGACAAACATTTAGTAATTGCAGGCAACATGCCAGGTACTGTTAAGATTGGGGATACCGGGATGACAGGTTGGAAGGTAGAGCCTCTACTTCCAGGGTGCTCACACGCCAAAGGGGAAAACAATGAGTAAACCAACAAATGATAGCACAGTCTAAAAAACAATGTTACCTAGCCAGGTCATTGTGATCGATGCTGTTTGTCTTTACATTGATTGGTTTGGACTAGTTAAGGATATCATTCACGTCACTATTGCACCCTGAGCACCTCACCTTTAATAAGTAAGTGAAAAAGACAAATAGCACTATCTAGGTTTCGCTTTCCTCAAGCTTGAACCACGAAAAACAATTAATTGTCATAGTTAAGATTAAAAAATTTTTTTAAATATCAAAAACGTACATCTTACTTAACACGGCTAAATATTAGCACGAATTAGCCGCCATTTATCTAGTTTAAA